CACACGTGCATCGAGTTGCGGAGCTACATTGTTTTTAACAGATAAGTATTAAAGGGACTATCCCACCTTCTAAAATGTTGTCAAAACCAGTTAAATTGTGCCCGACTTTATAGATTGGATGACCAGGAACACGGTTCTGGCATTTATTTTTCATTAAACATCTTAGACTTTCCATATTCCAAACACAAACTTTCAAATATGTGACGTCACAGCTCAAAATTACCTCCTTCCCCAGGCCATATTACTGTCATAAAGCTGATTCTTTTTACTCTGTAGGCACCACAACAAAGTTCAGACCAAGTTTTAAGCGATTTTTCAACGAGCAAACCCATTTAAATCAGAATGACTAAACGAGGTGACGTCACACTAACGGTCGCTCCATGTTGAAGATAGGGCCTTGCACAAGGCCCATTTTCAAATGAAGGGAACGAATTTCTTCAACACCAAGAGGCCGCGGGGGTTGCAACCTAGATAGATAGTGGTTTCTGAACCTCGCCGCAAACTTGGCTATCTCAACTCAAACCCCATGTTAAAGGTGAGATAGTCCCTTTAAGGCCTTGATTGAGCTCATTGGTGTCTATTATTTCGCACAGCAATCGTCCAAAGACGTGGGAACGGGGGTTTTTGGATAGCGCGGCGTCCCAACTTTAAGCAATTATTACTGTTCCTCTAATGCGTGGTCGCAGCCACCAATAGCAAACCGTTCCATCTAGGAACAAATAAGTCGCGCACCTGGGACGGTTCGAACCGGGTTTCTCCAACCGGTCACCCCACGACGCTAGCGTGTATCCACTGAGCTGCCGAAACCAGCGACCACCCGCCGCGGTCAAACGCGATCGAATGTCACAATACTGTCATTGGCGGTCAGCGGGTGAATGTCATCTTGTTTTGTGCGGACGGGGACCATTCTCGGTAGCTCAGTGGATGAACGCTCGTGTCGTGAATTGGCCGGTGGGAGAAGCCCGGTCCGAGTCCCCCTGAGTGGCCGACTTTTTGGCTCCTAGTTGGAACGGTTTGCTATTGGAGGCTGCGACCACATATTAGAGCAACAGTAATACCCTTTAACCCTCGCACGACCAGGCCATTTCTCATAACACGAACGACCAGGGGGGGGGGGGTTGTTACGACCCCCCCTGGCGTTTCTAAACGGAAGGTCGTAGAGCTTAGCGGAAAAAACCAACGGATTGCTCTCAACGAGATCTCGCGATTGGTGGTATATTTTTGGTCCTAGGTCAACATTTGACCTACTTATGACCGGTCAAAGGTCAAATTTTCCGAAAAAAAAAATCAAACTTTTTCAACTTTGCGCAACGATTGCGGCAAAACGGTGAGAGATATTAACTTCAAACCTTCAACAACGTATTCCCCACTCAATTCTGCCTCATATATGGTGTTTTTGGTGTATTTACCCTATAAAAGTAAGAGGCCTATTGCTGATGAGTGATATGGTGTCACATCACCCTCCGGTGTTTGTCCCGATTCGTCGGCTGTTGACCACTGCTCCGCTATAAATACTGTAGGTAACGACTCAGAAAAGTGTATTTCCAACTTCCAACAATCAATTCACAGCAAACGAAAACCTCGGGACTCGGTACACACTTCGTGAAAATCCGGCCGGAGGCTGTACCTCTTATGACGTCATAACTCCGTGACCTGACCTGACCCGGTCAATTTTCTTGCACCACACGATAGCCAATGCTTGCCCCAAAATGCATGGGAAGTTTCATCATGATCCATCAAACAATGTGGGTATCACCGGCAGAAAACCTAAGGATTCGGCGCACACGTTTGGTAACTGTCGGCCGGAGGCTGTACCTCTTATGGCGTCATAACTCCGTGACATGACATGACCCGATCAATTTTTTTTTCGGCAAAAGATGCGCAAAGGTTGCCCCAGAGGGTATTGAAAATTTCAGCCCGCTACGACAAGCCGTTTAGCGTGCACTTCGAAAAAACCTCAGGGGGGGGGGGGGGTTGATACAACCCCCCCCCCCCTAGGCGTTCTAGGGTTAACCCTCGCCGGCCGAGGGGGGGGGGGCGGGTGCCGCCCCCCCATAGGGTTTTTTCGCGATAGCTCCAAACACGCTGGCGATAGAGAGCTGAAACTTGGCATACCTGACCTTTGATCCAAGCCGGATCTTTTGACACCAACCGCATTTTTGGGTCAGGTCAGGTCACTGACCTATGACGTCATAAGTGAACCTCTGCACGGTCTTCAGATGTCGCAACTTCGCAACGCCCTCACTGCCAGAGGAGATGTCACAGGGAAATGAAACTTGCAGGATCTAGTATCCATTATGAGTCCCACAACATGTATATCTCGGATTTTTCCTAAAGGTCATATGAGGTCAGGTCATTTTCGTGACCTCACCATTATAAGTCAAAGGGGAAAAATGAAAACTGCTATTCTGGCGCCGGGAACGATCTCCAACTATCTCAAGCACACAGAATCGTGATTTGATGCACTCCTTGCAAGGTTAGATGCGTCACTTTTGCAATGTTGACCTTTCGTGACGTCATTTATGACGTCATCAAGGTCATATTAGTTTTTCGTCAATAACTCTTGATCAAATTGAGTTAGCGAGTCGGGAAAGCCACCAATGGACTCAGGAAGGCCTGCCGAATCGAATGATATGCGACATGACCTCTTTCGACCAACTTTGTGACCTGGGGGTGCTGACCTGACCTTGACCTGAGGTCAACACCCCAAGTTGACCTGACCCGGACAAAAAGTATATCATTCGACGCGCCTGAGCGAGGCGAACACGATGCTGCCAAAATCGGCGCTCTGCGGCCGTTTTTTGCGAAGTTATTCACCAAAAACTGAACGGTACCTTGGGGCACTTGACCTGACCTCAGAGGTCACCGGTTGACCTAGGACCTTAAAATCGGGTACCAATCTCTGCGTCTCGTAACGGCGCACACGCTCGTTTTTTCCGCGACGCGCTAGCTCCACCAGGGGCGAAACGGCGAGGGGGGGGGGGGGTCGTACCCGCCCCCCCCCTCGGCCGGCGCGTATGTAGAAAACCAATAGGTCCGGCGAGGGTTAAATTGGAGCGTTTGCTGCGGCACTACTCATAACCCCCAGTTCCCACGGCTCTGGACGATTGCCGTGCGTAACAATAGACACCAATCTGCTCAATCAAAACCTTAATACTAATATGTTATACAAAATATAGCTCCGCAGTCCGCACCTCGATGCACGAGTGGCATAAGTTCTATCGGCTGTCCCATTGCCACGCTCAAGTGTGTCGTAATGTGCATTGCAAGTATGATGATAGGCGCTGTCTTGGGGATAGGATATTTTAACAACTGCTTTAGCACAATTGTTAGGTAGAATAATTGGCGCCTTGAGACGCCAAAGTTAACTACACTCGCTCAGCCGCGCGATGTCCGTGCTCCCACCCCACCTCACTCCCCAGCCCTCGCCAGCCGCCGCGCCGCGCCGACCCGAGCCATGCCTCCGGGCTCGGCCCTCACCGCTGCGCTGACGTCACAGGCGGCCCACATCGCCTTCCAGCCACCGACCCAGACCGGTGTCATACGGTGTGGGTAGACTGTGCCGCATGACAAGTAAGTGAAGCGGCACAGTCTACCGGTACCAGGCGGCTGCTGCCAATGCTGAGCCATAGGAACCCGGTGGATAAAGAGTTGTGGAACATCAATCTGCCCCCGAGTGTACCTACCTACCTAATTATATACTGTTTGTTTTTGTTTGTTTTGTTGGGTTAGGCCCTTTCGGTCGACAAGACCATTGCAGAGCCGGAAGGATGATAGGAATTAGGGGGAGACATTGGTCTGGGCAGGCACCCTAGTGAGTCGCCGGGGCTGAGCCCGTCCAGAGGACAGGCCACCCAGCCCCAAGGCACTCACTGCACCCGGCTACGGGGTGCGCTCCCTCAGGAGCAGCGGTGCCGCTCCAAGGGAGCAACCCGCATGAGATAAAGTTGCCTGTCCAGCCTGGAGGGGGGTTGCGGCTTGGAGGAGAAGGATTTCAGTATCCTGAGGATAGAAGCACGGATAGGTAAACCTAATTATATACGTTTTGGTAGCGTGTAGGTGGACCGAGGAGTCCAGCATTATGACCAGAGAAGTCCAGCAGTGGGAAGTCCATACCTACCTCTCTCTATTTTGAGAAGTGCAGGCCCGCGACATTTCCAACCCCCACGTCAGCGACGCTGCTGGATTTAAAATGATCGATCTGGAGCGTCAACAAACGACTGGCCCTATGCCGGCCTGTATCTGTAAAACCATTAGAGGTCGCGAGGATTCGATCCCACACACTTAGGCGTTAGTGTCTTCTGAAACCAACGCTCTCGTCCTACGCCAAGCGACCTGATGATTCTCCCGATGTGGAGCTCGATATTTTTAACTGGGACCATGCAAGTAGTTACTCAAAGCTGTCAAACAAAGACACAATCAAACAAAGACTACACTCATTCGTTTAAATGTAATTGTACATCAACCGGGCCTGCCTATTGACTAGGGCCGGTCTCCGGCTGGTTTTGTTAGGTCTAGTTTCAGGCAGAACATGAACGGCGTTGATGTACTTGGGAGTTTTTACAGCGTTAACTAAACAATGCTTTATGCTACAGCCGAGTCTGCAACTCAACCTGGTCGTTACTCAGCATTGTCGTCATCACAGAGCTTCAAATCGATCAGCTACAGGCTGAACACGTACCTATAGGGTATAGGAAGACGTCCAAAAACTGTTGGCCATAGTATCTGTAGTGGGATCTACGTTCCATGCTGGTCAGGCATTTTGCAAAATGCCTAGTCATTTTGTAAAATGGCTAGCCATTTTGAAAAAAGCCTGGTTGCGTTCAGTCATTTTTCAAACAGCCGTCTTTTTGTAAAATGCCTAGGCATTTTACAAAATGACTGATTTTCTAAAGTGCCTGCAACAGATATATCACGGACGGCAGTGACCTGACCTGTACTGCTGACCGGCCGTTAACCTGTCGCTGACCTGTCTCTGACCTCCCGCTCTCTTCCCGCAGACCTTCACGGCCTGGTGCAACTCTCACCTGCGGAAGGCCGGCACCTCCATCGAAAACATCGAGGAGGACTTCCGTAATGGCCTGAAGCTGATGCTGCTGCTGGAGGTCATCTCCGGCGAGACCCTCTCCAAGCCCGACCGCGGCAAGATGCGCTTCCACAAGATCGCCAACGTCAACAAGGCACTGGACTTCATCGCCAGCAAGGGCGTCAAGCTGGTCTCCATTGGCGCCGAGGGTGAGTCCGACGGGGAGGTCGGGGGTGTGATGATTTTGTCTTACCGTCGAGGCAGGCTCAGGTGAAACAGGGAATATCTGTTGTCGGGAGGGTGTGCTCAGCAGTCTCTTTAACACCTTTGCAGCTTCTCGCATTCATAAATTATCATGGCGTTTTATGGTAGAAAGGACCAGCTTCGAGTTGCCACTCCAAAGCAATCGCAGGTATTATTTATCTTCAGACATCAGCTATCTCAGTTTCTACCATTGGCTGTGGTTGAAGTGCCTGATAAGATATCATCTGGTCGCTCGTGCGCGGTGAAGGGGTGATAGATATTCATGAGTGTTTTGGCCTCTACACTTCGACAGCTTTTTCGATTATTTACATGCCATCAACAAGGCTTCTCTCCCCCTCTGCGCATTATCTGAATCTAATACCGGAGTCGACCCACTAATCGCTTTCGAATTAGCGCTTTCTCGGTGTGTTCATCTTCATGTAAATCAGCGACTCGTCAGTTGGACCGTGCTGGGCTCATCAGCATTCAGAGGCGGTAAACGCCACTAAGGACCGACTTGTTTTCACACAACAAATAATACGGCTGTCAGAGCGCTCCAAAACACAATGGAATGCTGGCCATGTGGGCGCAGTGGGATAGGCCCAATGTCTGTCAGACACCTCGCGGAGCTTTGACGAATGGCATTGGCCAGACGCGGAGTACAACTATCAAGTGTCTGAAGGGTACCGTTCTCCACACTGGCGTTGCTCCGTTTTATCGAGCGCTGCTGTGGGCTGTAGCGTTCCACCCGGCAGCAGGATGGTCCAGGGGAACAGCTGGTCGCCTCGTGGTACTTCGTGTCTGTGTGTGTGTTTGTGTGTATGTGTTTACGAGGACCACCTGGCGGTCGACCACCGTTATGAGCCGTCCGACCGGCAGCTAGCTGGAGCAGAAGGCGCTAGCTGGGTTCTCAGACTGAGTGCAGTACCTACCGAGTTTTCAGCCAACCGCCGACCTTCCACAGTTGGAATGGGAACTGGTGATTGTACATTACTGTGCTGCCGTATTTAGCCTCGATATTGTCGAAAATCTCAACGTCTAGTTGTTTGGTACAATCATTTCACCTCCTGCCGCCTCAGCATAGGTGTTCACATGCACTTCGGCTGTAATCATCCTAGCATGGGGCAGCTACACCACCGACCAAGCCCCCACCAGCCGCGGGCGTCTCTGATAGCGGGGCGATATCACCGATAACGGCTAATGACGGCTCAACCGGACAGCTGTGGTCTATGCCACACTCTAACCCGGACAGGACCGGGATTAGGCGTGACTAGCCAGCCCAGACAGGTCTATGGCAGTAATTTAGGGCGGGCTGTGACTGAGGAGAGCATTATCAGGACGGAGAGTCGTGGCCAGCTATCCTAGTATAATGCCTTTCTATTGTATTATCACTACATAGATAGAGTGAAAGAGTGCGGTCGCGGATGCTTGATAATATTTGGTGTTGTTATTTGCCCTGTTACAACATTGGGTGTTGTGGTTATGTTCCTGGATATGTCCAAAGGCTCACGGCGGCTTTTCTTTGTATCCTTTGCATCCTTGACGTGGATCGTACGAGACATATCGTGTTTTTTATCATGTGAAGAATGCCGTTCGTCACGATTTTAGTGTCATATATGTACAAGCAGTAGATTGGCTGTTTGGCGTAGTCCTGTCCCATTCGTGATTAAATTCTTCAGATTCGTCTTCTAAGAGCAAAATACTGATGACTTCAACGGCACAGCATTTCATCAGGCTGGAGTTTGAGGTAGTCATCTGACCTTTGATGAGTCATGTATTCGTGTCCTATTTTGGTAATGTATTAGTCATGGTCACCGTTACTCATCAGTGCCATATAGAGCCTAATGGTCGCGACACTCGTCACTCAATGATCCCATATTACCTCTGCCGAACAACATCACTCAGTATTTTAATATCACGACTGCTTAGCGGCGTCAACAGACGCGTACCAGTCCCCCCAGACCTCCCCTCGTATCAGTTGCCACTTGTGGGGCCGACTGTTGACGCTTTGCCGATACATTTTAACAGCCTGCAAGGCTCGATAATCCGTCAGCGCCTCCCTCCTGGTGATCAGATAACACCTTGTACTCCATGCGACCTCGACCGCCTGCACTCGAGTGCGCTCACGGTTCAGCGAGACGCCCAAAGACGGCTTAAAGGGACCCTCCCACCTTCAAAAAAGTTAATGAATTGGCATGAAAGTGATGTCGCTCGGTTCAGAAAGAGCAAAAACGAATATCTACCAAATTTCATCGAAAAATATTCACCGGTTTTCAAGATATTAGACTTTTACTTTTGTTTACTTTTTGGGATCTCCGCTGTTCCTAGCGACTTTATTTGAAAGTGCGGCATTTGTTGCGCGCAAAGCAGCATATACCACCGCGTGGTACAAAACGTTTTAGTCAAACATTTAACGGACGTTCGAAAGCCTGATGACGTCATCAGATTCCCGTAATGGTTAAGAGATAGGGACCACGCTGGTCCCACCCTGCAAGTAAAGGGAAGGAATTTCTTGAACACCATAAAGCTGCGGGGGTTGCGACCAAGATAAATGGTGGTTTCTGAGCCTGGCCGCAAACTTGGCTATCTCAACTCAAAACTAATGTTAAGGTGGGAGGGTCCCTTTAACAGCAGCGGCGGCTGCGTTAGCTCACCCCTCTCGTAGAGCGCCCGCCGGCACAGTGGTAAACGCCCCGGCTTGACAGACGTCTGGTACTGTTGTGACCGCCGCGGACCAAGGTCGGCACTGGTGGCGATCGTCAAAACGAGGGAGGGGAGGGGGCTGCGCGACAAATTGGCCGACCTCTGTGCTCGTGTGTGCAACTGCTGGTTGCCGAGCCTGTGCTCACCTTCCGTTTCGAGGCTCACAATGTGCCTCCGGACTGGGGGGGGGGGGGGTCATTATAAGCCGAGCTCTGTAGCGTGGCTGTCGTCGAACCTTGGCGATCTGCAAGATGTGATTCTTGGTGGTGCGACTGTATGGTCGTGAAGCCGTTGGGAACCCCGAATGACATACCTGCGTCCGGGATGATTTGGCACACGGTGTCCGTGCCGGGCCGTGACGAGGCTCTGGGTACTGTTAGTCGCGGGAACTTGTGGGACCGATCTTGGCACGGTGGGCGCCCGGTCTGGGAGAATGACACAGCCCAGTTCGGACTGGTCTCGGCGGGGGGGGGGGGGGGCAGCGTGAGCTGATATCTGGGCTTGAATGGAATGACTGCTAACGTTTCGCTCTGCTCCCGTTCCTTGTCTTCTTGTCTTGTTCGTGGATTCCGATCAAGCTTCTGGCTACTGCAAGTTGCAACTGGCTGCTTCTTGTTTTCTTCTAAGGTCATGAACTTCGATGACATTGAAAGTCCGGGCGCCCTTAAGCCAACTTGGTTTTGTCTCCTTCAGCATTCCTTCCCATGCCCTAGACTGTTTCCTTACTCCCCCCATCACTCACGTCAGCTCGATCTGCGCGTATCTGCCTGGGATGGTCCGTATCGTCCGTTTCGGCTCCTGCCCCGCTGCAGAGGACTCCCACGGCCGGTCTCGGAGACATCGGTCGACGATCTCTGGCCGGCAGCCCCGCGGGGAGACCGTAATTGGACGTCACACCAGCTCCGAATGTGGGAACGGCCTCTCCCCGGGATAGCCGGCGATGTTGTGTTGTAGAGCCTCCCGCGGGAACTGTGTAGGCGGCTACACGCGAAGGCGGCTCCCGTGTGAAGGAATGCTTCGACAACGGACGGTGGTGTGGTGAGGGCGGGTCCCGTTAGGAGGACTGGTGCCGAGTAGTGATGTCATTTTCAGAAAACGTATGCCCAAAGTCCGTCCAATGTCCAATGCTTACGTCGACTGTCCGTCCAAAAATGTCCAAGCCAGCCATTTGTCCAAAGATGTCCGACACCTACGCAATAGTTTACACTCAACACTGTTATCTAATTTGCTTTTCATGTACCGTTACCAGCTCAAAAGTTTTCATTATATTGAAAGCTGAGCTTTCTAATAGCCAATCAATGTTAAACACGATTACTTTTTAAAAATGTTGAGGTGTAGCAAGCGATTGTCCAAAGTTGTCCAAAGCCTGCTGCCATTGTCCAACCGAATTCCGAATTGGACATTGGACAAAATCGGAATTCCGAAGATTCAAGTTCCGATTGACACCACTAGTGCCGAGGGCCTGCGATGGTTGTTGTGTCGGTGATAATTGGTGGGCTATTAGCACTGATGGTGCTGATCAGGGTCTTCCGCCGGGTCCCGAACAGCACAGCCAACCGCCGCGTCGGTACATCTACAACTATTTCCCAACTGCATAATTGTCATTCACCGCGGAGTTTTCTCATCACATCCGCACGACTGCGCAGTTCATACCTACTTCATCCCGATGAGCTGCAAATCCCCTGAATCTCCCACCCTCCATCCCGCCCCACAGGGTGACAGTCGGTGTTCCCTTCTGTGTGCTTCTGTGCCCTCCAACCCTCTCCGCCAGCACGGAGCTTCAGCCCATATCACCTTCCGGTCGGTCCGTGCACGGCTCCGGATCTGGCTCCGGCTCGGCGGGTGATGGCTGAGCGGCCAAACATCGACCGAGGGTAAACAGCCGCGGACGCCGCTCGACAACCGCCGCCGCCACCGCCGGCACTGCTAACGCCGCTAGGTAGTGCTGACTGCTGAGGCCGGTGGATTGCCTGCTGAGCAGCTGTTGCTGGGTACTGCTGGTTGACGCTGCTTGAGGTCCTCGAAAGCTGCACTCTAACTGGTCACCTGTCCAGCTATGGTACTGCCACATTTGTATGCTCATTAGTCATTGTTCAGCTATGGTACTGCCACATGAGCCGGAACCAAATTCGCCGTAGCACGTTCGGGGGTCGAGCTGTGCTTGGACTGCATTTCGTGGGTGTGGCAACGATGTGAGCCCATTGTAACGTCACTGTGAATGCAGCGTGGTGCTCCCGCATAATCCCGCATTGTCTGAGAGTTGATAAACGTTTCCGAGCTCGGACCGTCAGCCGCACTGCCGTTACCTGATGTTGCCACCGGCTACTCTCGTATAATCGCGCACCGTTATACGCAAACACACCCTGTCTATGATTGTCTGTATAAGCTATGTCCAAACAGGTATGCGTTCTTTCGCCGAATCTCCTGGTGGACTTTGACCCTGTGTCCGTGTTTCCGTGATCATTGCAACGTTGCAGGCTAGCAGCAACTTGACGTCGAGTTTATCTCTGCATTCAGTTCACGGAAGTCGGAATGTCAGGCATGCGGTGTGCACTGGGGTCAGGGGGCAAATGGAAGAGTCCAGAGTAGAGACTGGACAGAGACAGGGAGCGTAACAGGCGTGACTCGTTAGTCCGAGGCTGAATGGAACTTATTGGGTCTGGTGACTGGGCGTGTGACTGGATGAGACCGAAATCCTGAAGCGAGAGATGTGGAAATCCTAGAACCGATCGAGTCTGGTGACCGAGAGAGACCGCATGGTGTTGGCTCGACTGGTGTAAATAAACCGTGGCTGGGCGACCGGGATCGGCGGTATACTGATACCGTACAGCTGAACGGTCGGTGGATACGGATGACGTCATCAGTGTCAGCTGGTGAAAAGATGATGTTGGGGGTGGGGGGGGGGTTGTCCTCGGTATGACTGGAAGGGATGGATTGCATTAGTGCTTTTGATGCGCCTCTTGCAACTTTTTCAAAGGAAGCATGCAGATTTCACAAGTGCCTAGCCTTCCTCGACAAATGCCGCCCATTAAAAAGTTGAGCATAAGAATGCCGGTCATTTGGGTCATCGCTGTGTCTAATTTCTGTGGCCGGGATTGCGAATCGTCTCTGTTGAAAATATCTGCGGGTGGATCGTGAGGCACGCTCGTCAGAAGTAACGAATAGCGTGGACTGAAATTCTCTGTCAGCAGCCGATCTTGGCCGGTCTTGGAGTCGCGAGATATGCGCCACGCAAGGGAAAACTCGCCCTACCACTGCCAGCTCGGGAAAAGTGGTTCAGTTGTCCTCTAGACGACTTTTTCCGGCGTATACCTCCAGGTCAGGTAGTCGGGATAGTGAAGGAAAGTCAAACGGTATCGGCGGAAACCAAATGTGAGCTGAGATGTCAGATGAATGCGTAGGTGGTCTATCACAAAGTGCGGGTCACTGGAACCTAACCAGTAAAGAGCTACATGTCAATGGTACTTATCGGTATGGTATTTACCTGGAAACCTTCGTCCACAAGTCCATTTCGCATGACCTTAGCGATTGATTTTATGCCTGATAGCTTGTAGTCTATGTTTACTGTTTAGTCCCTAAGTTTGTGATTTTTTTTTTTTTTGTCAGCAATCGTTCCAATTTTGATTAGATGGTTTCGAGTTAAGGCATGCTTTTGCTGTGCCGATGACCGCTTTTATTTATAAACCTTCTATGCCTTTTGGTGAACCGGACAGCTATATACTTTGGAACCGGACACTCTGTGTGGCATGTGTTTTACCGATAAAAAAACACTGGTACTGATTTTCCTTATTAGTGGCCAAGTGCGCCTGTCATGTGTCAGTGGTTGACACAAGGCAGACCTATTGGACATCCGACCCGGGATCTGCGGCTGTGTGAGTTCTGCCTGGACGACGTCCGAAGCTGATCGAGGTCCTTCAATTTGCTTCACTCTTATTCTCCATCATATTCGCTCGTTACTGACGAAGAGATGGCCCCTATATTTGTAAGTGACTGTTGATTCAGTGACATGTGTCACTGTCCAGTGCCAAGATGTGCCCATGGCCCATCGGCGACGGTCAACCGCCGTCAATGGATGCCGTCGGGCTAAAACGGTCCGCCAACTAATTCAAGCCCTCTGACCTTTCAGTTAGGCTCGTCTGAGCCTGGAGGGGCATGAGTCAGATTGGGGTGGATGATACCATTTTGGAGCAAATCACATAAAGTTCTTTTATTTCTTAGAATAGTCATACACTTGAAGGTTATGGACATCAACGGCGCTGCAGTGATATTTCTGACGGCTGTTTGAAGCGAACCCCTGTCGGTTGAAAGTGATCCTGCTCGCCCATACCTGTCCGACGAACGGCCGAACTCTAACGAACTTTCCCTTTGCAGCGACCGCCCGGTCTGTTTTTATATCTGAGTCGCCCAACAGGCTTCCAATCGAACGACTCGAAAGCTATTCAAATGGATAGCTAGAAACCTAACGACGAGAAATTCTTCGTTATCGGGGCAGCAGATAAGGCAGCTCGTGGAGCCACTTGAGTCACGTCAAATTAAACGGAACCAGCAGAAATAATTGGACAAATGCAGGTCACCTTTCTGACACAGAGATCAGCAACCGAACCGGTTTCGACTAATAAAGCCGGCATGCTGCGGCCTTGTCGGCTTTATTTCGTCATCCTTGGACGCCTGCAATCTGCTGCGGACGCGGTACATAACAATGCAAGTCGTGCATGCAATTTTATGGTTGCATGTGTTGAGCTATGACCGGTGCGGCGCCATTTTGATGGCACCATGCTCTTTATAGGCCAAAGCTGGCTTGTGGTTTGTCTCGTTCATGTAGAGGCTGTGATGTGGACAGCGTCTTTTGACCATCACACAGTTCAAAACCTCTGAAATGCTACAGCAGATCCGACCCTGCCTGGAAGACTTCCACTAGTGATCTTTATTTGTATTCCTTGGATCCAGATACACCCTTGAAAGAGACTGTATGCCTACTACCTAGTTCACTCTGCATGATTGACGGACCTTTCTGCAAGTGACCTTTACCCGTATTCCTTGTGTTCTTATTGGCCTGAGACGGCGGCCTCCACACCACTAGCAGCATAAATGAGACAATAGCGCCAAAGTGGCAGCGAAAGTGACCCAGTGCCGGTCCGGTTTTTGCTGACGTCGCCCGCGGCAAAATGCCGAGCCACTCTCGGAGGTCACGTGACGCGACATTCCGCCGGGCGGCCTTGTCAGTTGTTTGTCACGTGATACCGGCACTTGTAACCTGTGATGCTTTCTGTTGCTTCGTTTTTCGCACTGCGGTTTTACACGTTACAACACATCTACGGGAATACCGCCACAGTCTGTAATCATAGGTTGCACCGATACGGCAATATGAAAGTCAATAGGTTATCGACCGAATGTGTTATTGACTGGATAGGTTGCTGCCTATCTGAGAAGTCTCCCATTACGACAACAAACGCCCATGGCTTTGCTCTCCCGCCGTTGACAGAGGCCGGTCTGTGCGTCTCAGACGTCTATATTATTGGCCGTCTGCGGTTCCGTTCGGCCGACGTATCGGAGCATTAGCATACCGCTGAGGGCGCGGCGAATGTGCGGCTCGCGGGCCAGGTATGGTCGGCAGGGCAGGCCCGCGGTCTGCCCGCTGACTGAGCCGTGGTGCCGACGGCCTGTCGGGAGCGACGGGGAGGATGGGTGGGATGATAGGGCACCGAGAGCGGGGTAGTGGACAGACGGGGAGCCGGGACGAAACTTCAGGACCGTCAGAACTGTTTGGAGTGAACGGGGAGTGTGATGGTTCGGAGGACTCAGCGGGATGAAAGCGCATTTGTTGGACCTTGCAGGGACACCCGAGTGTCAGGGAGTTGATTGATAACCCGGTGTGTTGATGAGTTGACTGATGCAACGGTAAGACCTTGGAACGATATCGGATCTCGCGAGCTATCAACACTAGGGCGGCATTGGAGTGTCGTCTGCTCAGAAATGGTTGCGGTACCGACATGCGTTGTTGGGGTACGCGGCTCCATTATCCACCTGTTGAACTTCGATTGGTGTTTATAGTCTTGTGGTTGCCTTGTTGCCTGAAGGGAGCCGTCCGGTGCAGGCCATAGCGGCGCAGCAGACACCCGTCTGCTGATACTTGACAGGACGACCCAGCCCTGCTGACGGGACAGTCCTGTGAGTGTGGTCGTCTATGTATCTGATGACACTGGAGGCCGCGGTCGTTCGAACGACCTTCACCGGTGCAGTGCGGCTCTGTCAGTGACGCAGCTAATGCGCGACGGAATGTCTGCATACGTGCCAAAAACGACAGATAACGTCGGAATGTGTCGGTGAGCAAAGCTTCGTGAACAGCGAGTAATTTGCCTTGTATGGGCCCATGTGCTATTGAATATTTCGTGAGCAGAATGCAGTAATAAGCGCACGATTATTTGGTTGCTCGGGACTAATCTAGTCAACGATGTAGTTCGTTGTAAAATTACAGTTGTTTTCCTCATTTTCTCATTGTCCTAAAGTCGCTTTTCATCATGCATGCACTGTTGACATGCAGTTAGTAATGTATGTATCCTATTATCATGACCTTGGCAGTTGTCTCTTGTCTCAATGAGAATGGCATTTCCTACTTTGTTTTCCTGTTAACTACCTGTCCAGCGTTGATGGCTCGTCTTCCGTCCATTTCTGATGTAACTCGTAGCATGAATGATGACTACCGAATGCGAGTTGGATTGATGGGAGGCGATGAACAAACAATAAACAAAAGCAGCAGGGCGGGCAGTGAAGGACGGCTCAGGCAGTTCCAGGACCTGATTGATCTACCGCTGTTCTGCGCTCATTCTGTGACTGACGACGCTACCAGTGGTGGGCCCAATGTCGATGGCCTTTCCGGCGCCGATAACTTTTGTGACAACGCTGAGATAAACAGATGCCAGTGTGGTGGATCGATGCCGTTTGACCTCACTGCTGATGAATGGAAACGTGGTTCGATTGGTTTACAATGCGGGCAAAGAATGGCCAGCAATTTTGTGTCGCGGCTTACCGACTCCAACTGATAATAGCAGCAGCGTTGTAGGAGTCGCTGTCACTTTTGACCTCGCGGTTCTTTACGCGTTTTACCTCTTTCCTACCAAAGGCTTGTTTATGAATTGACGTGAATTTAACATTCTTTTCGCAGGCTGTGCAGTTTCTAGCCCCCAATCATCCCTTTCCGATGCCTGGGGCCGTATTTAACTTCACCACTTTCTTTCCACAGAGATCGTCGACGGCAACCTGAAGATGACGCTGGGCATGATCTGGACCATCATCCTGCGGTTCGCCATCCAAGACATCTCTGTGGAGGAGATGACCGCCAAGGAGGGCCTGCTGCTCTGGTGTCAGCGCAAGACGGCGCCCTACAAGAACGTGAACGTGCAGAACTTCCACACCAGCTTCAAGGACGGTCTGGCGTTCTGCGCGCTCATCCACCGGCACCGGCCCGACCTCATCGACTACAACAAACTCTCCAAGGTAGGGATGGGATGGGGAGTGGGGGGTGACCCGACCTCATCGACTACAACAAACTCTCCAAGGTGAGGGGTGGGGGGTGGAAGGGCTAGGGACTGACCCGACCTCATTGACTGCAGCAAACTCTCCAAGGTGAGGGTTGTTGGTGACGAACTCTCCAACGTAAGGGATAAGGGTACTGAGTGGTTAAAGAGGAAGGTCTAGTTTTGAGGGAGGTCGGAATTGGAGTCTTTGGAATGGTAGGGTTCCATTCGTGATTTACGAGTATAAATACAGCTTTTTTTAAATTGATTCTCGCAACGTCTGTTTTTTTTTTTTAGCAACCTTATTGCGACATCGCTGCCGTGCTGTACTGGATGTATGAATTTGTTCCAGTTGATAAACCGTGAGGTTAGCTGGGCAGTTTCTCTCCACCCAGGAGTGTTAAAGGGACCATCCCACCTTAACATTAGTTTTGAGTTGAGATAGCCAAGTTTGCGGCCAGGCTCAGAAACCACCATTTATCCTGGTCGCAACCCCCGCAGCTTTATGGTGTTCAAGAAATTTCTTCCCTTTACTTGCAGGGTGGGACCAGCTTAGTCCCTATCTCTTAACCATTAGCGGCTTTTGGATGACGTCAGCAGTCATTTCAACGCCCGCCATTCCTTGAACCCGAGTTTTGCTGACCTTGAGCTCCCTTTTTTATCAACGTGAAATCCGTCGTCGGCGCTGAGAAAGCCTATTGCTTTTCATTTTAATTTGAATATTAGAAGATACCCACCACTGGAACTTGGACTGATATTATACCAAGGCCGAAGATGATCAAGCTGCCTGCTATATCTGGAGCTTGGTGTTCAACTTCAACATGGAATAAAAAACAAAATATCAAAGCAAACTGGATATGGTACTGCAAGTTAAAGTCCAAAGAAATTTGAAGAGCTGGCAATTGACATTAATTCTTTTCCTGCAAGGTTTCCATATGGAGATCACAGTCACACCATGAAGAAATATTTTTGATGTTAACAGTTGAAAGGGGATTTATCTTCCAGTTTTGACGAAAGACGCTGCTGACTGTCTTTGGAAAAGGATGTCGGCATGAGGTGCAATTGTGCTTGTGAAGTGGTTATAACTGGTCTTTTCACAGTATTAAATTAAATGTGCCATTGCAGCCAAGTGTGTTATCATGTAAGGTAAAATCAAAACTACAATGTTGGTTTTACGAGCATTGAGAAGGCTGGTAGGTAACACCTGCCTGTGCTCGTAAATCATGCTGCCAGAGTATTCTAAATTAATTTTATCATACACCATTGTTGTCCAGAATGGTTGCACTATTGTTTGGTATCATATTATTCCATGTAAATATGGTAGTGTATTTGTAAAGTCCGACCAACATGTTACCAGATTTGAAGCTGTTACGTTACCTAAGTACCTGTTTTTTACTGGCGTGGTGAATGTCACCTGGATTTTGTTTTGAGGTGCAGACCTAGTAACTCTGACTACATGGGTTTGAAGCTATTATCTATTCTGTTTTTACTGGCCTGGTGAATGGCGACTGATGTTGTCCGTGGATGGCACTGAAACAAATTTTGAGTGTTTTGTACAGTGTTTTAATACAATGCTGAGGGCTGAAAGTTGTCTTGTTTAGAGTGGTGAAAGTTCAGGATATGCCAGCCACCATGGTGGGTCAGAGTTAAATGTGTTGCAGTCAGTTCGGCTTCGACAAGCACACGGATGGGCATACGCATCAAGACCTGCTCTGCCATACTTTCAGCCAATTTTACCTAGGTAAGTCTTTTCTTTTTTTCTGCCAAAAGCTATGACATTGTGAATTTCAGCACTGTGGCCTGTGTGTAGCTTTCAGGAAAGCAATTCTAAATAAAGCTCTGATAAAGTGCAAAATCAGCAATGCAGCCCTCTATTACATTTTCTACAACATCTTACTTGTTCCTTGCATGGAGAGAAAAATGCAATGTTATGAATTCGTTTATTCACATAATTTGACAAGCATGCAGTTACCTGCTACTATCACTGCACAAAACAGAGCAGAAAACATCAGTTGATCAAACACAAGACATAACAGAAGTTTACAACATAGGGCTGCCGAACCTCTTCCTCCCACCACAGTTGATGCCATTTCCTAGCCTGGCTTGATGTGAGCACTGAATAGCTGCTTTGTCTAATTACAGCTCACTACCATTCAACTTAAACTACTCTCTTTAAAGTAAGAGTGAGAGCGTTCAGTGTTCATAGCAGCTCGACAGACGACAGACAACAAACATCTTGACAAACCAACCAGTATTTGATTTGGCTAATGATTTATGTGCTTGTTGTATCATGGCCAAACTACTTTAACAGCAATAATCCCTGTTTCATCTTGATCTTGCTTTTATTTCCATTTGAACTCAGATCTTGAAACAATCATCTGAAGTTTTTGATAGTTTGGATTCTTGGCTTGATTTAGCAGATCAGCTGTGAACCTTGACTTTGAAATCACATAAATGTCATGGTACCCGAACGAATCCTCGCATGACATTTCTTCGTAGCACAATTTTTCGTCCGCATTTCTTCGTCTACAAATCTTCGTCGGTGCATTTATTTGTCCCTCAATGCTTACTCTTGCATATATTTGCGTTGAAGAAGAAATGCGAGCCGATTTTCATATACCCTGGTGCGATACAAAGTAATGCGATAGGTACGAATAAATGCCCTGACGAAGATTTGCAGACGAAGAATTGCGATACGAAGAAATGCCATAAGAATTGTCCTGGAATCCTTTATTGGCCATCATATATTGACCTTGATAAGATAAACGCATCATTCGCGCAATATTTGTCGCACTTTGATACCAAACTATTGCTTCCAAATGCCGACGTAAAGAAAACCTTTATGTGACGTCATAGAAACAGCGGATTTCCCAAAAAGTAAACAAAAATAAAAGTCTTATATCTCGAAAACGGGTGAATATTTTCCGGTAAAATTTGGTAGATGTTCATTTTCGCTCTTTGTGATTCACGCTACATCACTTTTATGCCAATTCATTAACTTTTTTGAAGGTGGGAGGGTCCCTTTAATCTGGTCTCTATGTCGGGCTTCGTTACAGGACAACCCGATGGAGAACCTGATGACCGCCTTCGACGTGGCCGAGAAGCACCTCGACATCCCTAAGATGCTGGACCCGGAAGGTGACTACCGCCCCCCCCCCCCCCCCGGGAACTGTTACCCTCGTGAAGGTGTCACTATGTCGTCGGCCTTTGGCACTCAGCATTGTGTGCGGCTCCCGAGGAAGTCCTAGTGACGACGAAGTGTTGCCTTCCGTGGACGTGCTTTTATTCATTTAGCATTTGGAACTTGAGGCACCATTGGGGATCTATCTCCACTTGGGCGTTTGTGGTCTTAGACACGTGACTGTCTATTGCACACTCACTGCCACTTGTCATTTGCACCTGTCTGTTTGCATTTCTCCCGGATCACCCGGGTCGCTGTGAAGCTGTTGGCTGATTGGTTTGGTTGGTATCCAGGGACTCCCCTGCGGCGGGGCCGGGGCCGGGTGCCCGTGGTGGACCGTGGGGGTGGGTCCGCCCTCTGCGTCCCCTCCCTCCGCTCCCGACTGAGACAGCCCGGCTGACGGTCCCACTGTCGCCGCCCGCCAGACCTTATCAACACGCCCAAACCCGACGAACGGGCCATCATGACCTACGTCTCCTGCTACTATCACGCCTTCCAGGGCGCTCAGCAGGTAACGCCATCTGTGGTCGGACCAACACACTAATAGTGCCGCGCCCGGCCGCGAGTCCGCCGCGCTCCGGCTGGCCCCCTCCCCTGGAGAGTTCTTATGGGGAGTTCACCCGGGGACTCCTCGTGGCCGCAGACCGGGCCGAGCTTTTCTCTAACGTCCCTCGGAACAGACACAAGGCTGTTTGCGACCGGATTGAGCGTTTTGCCTTGCTGGTGCTGTGTTGTGGTGTGTCCGTTTGTTTGTGTGTTTGTTTGTCTTGTTTGTTTGTTTTCGTTTTAGTGCCTGACTGCCGGCGTTTTGAAACGTGAAGACGCGGTACTTTGTTTTGGTTGTTTTATCTGTTTGTGTAGCATTTTTTCTGAAAGTTCATTCACGTGATTCTCTGATCCCTTCTCTTCCATAGCACTCCATGTAAAATTGAAAGCTCTTCCAAACGTTTCACTTGTGTGTAAAGACCTGGTTTCACTTTCAAATGATTGACTTTTCATCGCCCATTCATTCCCGGCTTATCACCACATCCGTCCATTCAACCGATCATCTCTTAGCATGGTTTTCTAATGCATCACCTGTACATTTAAATCCCACGAAGCCACTCTCTGAGCGGCATGGCACTGCACGTCGCTCCGCCGGAGCCCGACTGACCGCTCCGGACCAGCATGGTGTGCCGTGTGCCCGCGCGCAGCGCCGCCCTGGCGGCGACCGTGTGAACTAACCGTCCGCCGCTCCGCCGCGCCCCTGTATTGCAGATATCAATAACGAGCCTGTTCCTGACGAGCGCGCTGTCATGACCTACGTGTCTTCGTACTACCACCGCTTCGCCGGAGCGCAGAAGGTAACGGCGCACCGCGCAGCGGGACTGGAGGATCGGGAACGGACTGCGCCGTAGTGCGGCGGGCTGGGTGGATTATATGACGCGAACGGGACGAATTAGGCTAGATTTGGAGGCGACGAATTAGGCTAGGCCATGCTAGGCAAAATAAAGCTCCGCTTGTAAGCGCGACGTGCTCTGCGTAGTAAACTATGACTCAGGACTCCGCATAAGCTTAGAAAAAAAAAACTTCATGACTGGCACAAAACGGTACCAACGCTGATAGCTATGTGTTCCCTGACCACTGACCTGCGTAATTGTGACGTTCTTCGGCCAGCCATCCATCCCGATGCCTTCCCGTGATCCTATCAAAGTTATCATACTCCCGCTCCGCCGCCTCCCACCCCTGTCCCGCCCGTTCCACTGTTCCGAGAAGTAGTTCGTGCCTCTCCGGGCCTGGTTCTGCATACAATACCCGACCCTCTGCCGTTTCCTGTGCAGCTGCTGTCGGGGCGGGGAGGAAGATTATGACCGTGACGGATTCCGGGGCACGAGAGGGGTGGGGAGGTTATACCGGCTACCAGTGAAACGGATACAATGGGTTGTGCCGGGCAGGGGAGGCGGGTTTAGTACCGGGTGGTTCAGAGAGGTCATATGGGTCCCGACAACAGTGAAATGGCGCACTGGGGTCAAATGTAAAACAGAGACCATCGCGCTCGAGAAACCCGGAGGTTCCCGACTTTTGAGGCTAGGCGTTGAAAGCCATGGAGTGATTTTGTTGGTAAATAAGCTATGAATAATGAGAAAATGAAGTTCGCTCTGTAAAACAAGCTAAACTTGTATCGGTCGTAATAATTAGTAAGGAGTGAATTCGCTGTAGGTAGACGTATCCTGTGATGACTGGTTGTATACTTTGTCGGCTTTATACAAGCGTGTTTATTTCTACGGTATGTTATAAAGTGTATCGTCCATTCTCTGACTTTGCCCCTGAACCGGCAGGCGGAGACGGCTTCGAACCGCATCTGCAAGGTGCTCAAGGTGAACCAGGACAACGAACGACTTATGGAGGAGTATGAACGACTGGCGACCGACGTGAGTTCCCACCGTTTCGTGACGTCATTTCGCGCAGAACAGAATTTGTGGCGTCTGGGGACTGGTGAGCTTATTTGTGTGCAGGGATGCAGCCGAAATAATCACAGCAGTTACCTGCTTTGACCCGGGCACCACATAATTATACTCCTGAGCTGAATGTTCCAATTTTCTTCTGGCCCACTGAGAAGCCTACGAAGGTAAACTGCTGGAATTATTTGCTTTTTTTGTTCAGTAGCTACTCATGCTATAAAATATATATTGTATAGATTACAATAAAAGCTATATTTCTACAATATTTGCTCGATAGTTGACCTGAGCGCCAATCGTCATTTGGTTACCTATGTCCGTCTGTTTCCGTCACTGAGCTTGAGACACTGTTCCACAGCTGCTGGAGTGGCTCCGCCGCCCGTGCCCGCCCCTCCAGGTGCCTGTCTGTGTCTGTATACCCCGCTGATCCGCTCCCTCCATACCCTTACATCTGCTGGAGTGGCTCCGCCGGCCCTGCCCGCCCCTCCAGGTGCCTGTCTGTGTCTGTATACCCCGCTGATCCGCTCCCTCCGTCTCCTTGCAGTTGCTGGAGTGGATCCGCCGCCCCTGCCCGCCCCTCCAGGTGCCTGTCTGTGTCTGTATACCCCGCTGATCCGCTCCCTCCGTCTCCTTGCAGTTGCTGGAGTGGATCCGCCGCCCCTGCCCGCCCCTCCAGGTGCCTGTCTGTGTCTGTATACCCCGCTGATCCGCTCCCTCCGTCCCCTTACAGTTGCTGGAGTGGATCCGCCGCACGCTGCCATGGCTCGAGTCGCGTCAGACCGACAACTCGCTGGCTGGCGTGCAGAAGAAGCTCGACGAGTACCGCAACTACCGGCGCAAGCACAAGCCGCCCCGTGTCGAACAGAAGGCCAAGTTGGAGACCAACTTCAACACGCTGCAGACCAAGCTGCGTCTCTCCAATCGGCCCGCCTACCTGCCCACCGAGGGCAAAACTGTCGGCGTGAGTGGGGAGGGGAGAGGTCCTACCTGCCCACCGAGGGCAAAACCGTCGGCGTGAGTTAGGGGAGGGGTCCTACCTGCCCACCGAGGGCAAAACGGGGGGTGAGGATGGCCGCCTACCTGCCCACCGAGGGCAAAACGGGGGGTGAGGATGGCCGCCTACCTGCCCACCGAGGGCAAAACGGGGGGTGAGGATGGCCGCCTACGTACCCACCGAGGGCAAAACCGTCGGCGTGAGGGGAGAGGGGGGATGAGTGATTGTATCGGGGGAGGGAGGATTGATGATGGTACCATGGGAAAGGAATGTTGAGAGCACTGGGGAAGGAGAAAAAGAGGCTGTCGGCTGTCATGTCATAAGTTATTCACAATTCTTTGTCTGCTTATTAGTTAACGTGCCAATTTCGACTCTTGAATTGATACTCTTGATAGCGGTGTCAACAAGAACATGTATCAATATCAGCCACGCACGGGCGTTTTTTTATCGCGCATCGTTATGAACTATCACATTACTATCAACACGCATTTGCGTCATATCGCTCATTGTCGTATCGAACCTGCAGTCGTGCCTGACGGTTTCGTCTGAGGGAAGTGGTCCTCGCCTACATTGTCCTGCTGTTTCGCCGTGCTGCCGGGACCCTGTCACACCTCCAACCGCTAATGCCGTCCGGTGTGTTCCAGGACGTGGCTAACGCCTGGAAGCGCCTAGAGGGCTCCGAGAAGACGTTCGAGGAGTGGCTGCTCACCGAGGTGATGAGGTGAGCTTAGCGGCCGTGGAGAGACGCCAGAGGAAGAAGCAAAGGGTCGCCAGGGTGAAGTGTGAACGGATGGGTGGTGTAGATCTGGCGATCTTAACCCTCGCCGGCACAGGCCATTTTGAGTCCTTCGACGGCACAAGGGGGGGGGGTTGGTACGACCCCCCCCCCTCGCGTTTGGCCCCTGATCGAGCTAGAGCTTCGCGGAAAAAACGAGCGTGTTGCCCGTCACGAGAGGAAGCCGATGATACCCAATTTTAAGGTCCTAGGTCATCGGGTGACCTTCCAGGTCAGGTCAATGACCCGAAAACCGGGAAAATCGGGACCTGTTAGAAAGTCGTAAAGTGTGGCTGCTATGTGGTTTTCTGGGGTGCTGATCACGAATATCGTGTTAGTTTTGATCAGAGATGATGTCTTGAAGCATTTAGACCAGGTCGGGTCAGGTCAGGTCAGGTCAACCGGTAGGGGTTGTGACGGGTATTCGTAATACGTGTCAACCGCCTCGGACAGCTTCGTAACATGTTACGAAGGCACCAAAACTACTTCGTAAATGTTCAAATGGTTGCTAAATTCGAATTCAGCTCCAAAAACTAGCCTAGAAACATGTAAAACTCGAAAAAGTGAAACGAGGTCACCCGAGGTCACCAAAGGTCAATGACCTGACCTGACCTTCAGGTGACCTTGACACCCACCCTAATGCATGGGAGCAACATCAAATCACATGTTTGAACGTTTGAAACCACGTAAAGCTTGCAAACGCGCGGCTAATGCGAGCCGACATGCGCCGAACCGCGATTTCGGCCAAACATGGTCACAGAAAAGAGGTCACAGGTCAAAGGTCATTGGGGTCAGGGTCATGAAATTTTCAGGGTAGATGTAAAATTGATCAATGCGAGGGTACTGAAAGTTTCGTCGCGAACGGCCGCTTTTTACGCGAGTTATTCGCGAAAAACCTTAGGGGGGGTTGCATCAACCCCCCCCCCCCCCCTGTGCCGGCGAGGGTTAAAGGTGTGTTAACTTCGGAGGTGGCTTTGCCCAGCGTTGGTGTCCGAGCGTCAGCCTCGGGAGGTATGTCGATATGCCTATACCGAGTAACGCTGGTGATCCGATATCCTTCCCAAAGTCGTGTTTTACCTGTCTGTAGTGATGTGTGCACTTTACCAGTTTTCATTCTTCACCTAGTGTTATTCAAAGATAACTTTACCGTAACTCGACCCTATCGCTTAACCCATTTACAATCAACTCCCATCAGATGACGCTTCGTTCGTTTTCTTTTCTACTCGATACCCCCTCCCGTCCTACCTCGTCCCATCCTGACCGGTACTGTCCTACCCAGTGGTGCTCTCCCGGCCGATCCTGATCTGACCCGTGTCTCCTGATCCTTCCTGCACACCCTGCTCCTGGTTCCTGGCGGTCCAGACTGCAGCGGACGGATCTGAGGAGCGGCCTGACCGACCGACGAAGGTACTGTCTGCCCTGTCCCCAGTACTCACCTCCCCACACACACCTTTCTGCACATCCTCGTCCCCACACAACCCCGTCCTGACCCCATCTGTGGGCGGGTGGTGACCGTTTGGTCGATAGGCGCTCTTAGTCGTGGACTGGGACACCTGTGTGTTGGCGGTCGTACGAGTGTTTACCCGAGTATTGGGCGTGACGCTTGTGTTGAGAGTAGTGAGATTGCGTTCTGCTCGGTGAAAAACGTGTGGATGGTGAATGATTGGTGGTCAAGCGTGTATTAAACGGTATTATTGTAGGAAGAATGTGGTGCAAGGGTATTTCCGGGTCGGTGTAATCCTGATTTCCAAGTATGCGGCGTAAAAAGTATGCACTTTTAAAGAGCTTATTCTTAAGGTCAGTCAGGATAAGCGGCAGAATCGGTATACTTTTCTGATTTGTGGTCCTGTTCTGGTATTATATGAGCTCACTGTCGTGGTTTCCGGACTATTTATCCTATTTCGATATCATTCTTTTGTGTGATGACTTGCTCGAACGTCCTATTGTCCAGAATTCGTTGTTGTATTTCCTTTGTCATTGAGTAGTATTTCAGGCCAGCAGCACCATTCTGTTTGTAACTATCTGACGCCCTTCCGCCCGCCGTCTGACCCCAGGCTGGAGAGAATAGACCATCTGGCCAAGAAGTTCAACCACAAGTCTGACATCCACGAGGAATGGACTCGCGGCAAGGAGGAGATGCTCCAGAGCCAGGACTTCCGCAACTGCAAGCTCAACGACCTCAAGGTAACGGTGGTGAACGGTGTCGAGCGCAGGTTACGGGTTAATGGCAGACTCAGTGACGGACTCGGTATTCAGACAGGCACAAATGCGATAAATCTATTAGTGATGTCAATTTCAGAAAACATATGTCCAATGTCCGTCCAATGTCCAATACTTACGTCGACTGTCCGTCCAAAAATATCCAAGCCAGCCATTTGTCCAAAGATGTCCGACATCTACGCAATAGTTTACACTCAACACCGTTATTTAATTTGCTTTTATTGTATCATTACCAGCTCAAAAGTGGTAATCATATCGAAAGCTGAGCTTAGTAATAGCCAATCAATGTTAAACACGATTACTTTATGAAAATGTTGGGGTGTAGCAAGCGATTGTCCAAAGCTGTCCAAAGCCTGCTGTCATTGTCCAACCGAATTCCGAATTGGACATTGGACAAAATCGGAATTCCAAAGATTCAAGTTCCGATTGACACCACTAGAATCTATGTTCTATAATATTTTGTGTACCTAAGCAGATCGCATAGCACCCGATTGCGCTGCATGACAGGGGAAAAAGCCCTACGTTTTCTAGTTTTCATGCTTTTGTTCTTTCTGAGAACTTCATACTGCACCATATTAGACCCCCTTGTCTCAACGGTATACTACTGCGTCTACAATGCCCCCATGTCTCTCCTCCGTCGCTTTACCGCTCTCTTTCTTGTCTCACGCCCCCGTCTTCCTCTGTCAGGCTCTGAAGAAGAAGCACGAGGCGTTCGAGTCGGACCTGGCCGCCCACCAGGAGCGTGTCGAGCAGATCGCCGCCATCGCGCAGGAGCTCAACACGCTCGACTACCACGACGCGGCCACCATTAACGCGCGCTGCCAGCGCATCTGCGACCAGTGGGACCGACTGGGAGCGTTCACCACCCAGCGGCGCACCCAGCTGGACGAGACCGAGCGGCTGCTCGAGAAACTCGACCAGCTCCACCTCGAGTTCGCCAAGCGCGCAGCGGTGAGACCTCGGGGAGAAGAGAGGGGTGAGGGATTGAGGAGCGAAGAGCACTGGAAGGGGCAGAAAGGAATTGAGCAGGCGTCCCATTTGTTTTGCTGGTTTTCTTCTGACTCGGAACCGAAACAATTCTCGGCCGTCATTTATTGTTGGGTTCGTCCTGTTAATTCTGCTGTGTGTTTGCGAAGTTTCCCGGTCATTCAATACTGATATTATATCGTTGTGCATTGTTTATCAGCGTCTCTTCGGGGACGTTGACATGGATCAGGACGGCAGGAAGCGTCGGGTCAGGACGGTAGAGACGCTGGCCCCGCTCTGTCCCTGCCCCTTGTATGATGCGCCTGTGGTGTCGATCCCTCCCTGACCGACCCCGCTTTCCCACCGCTCCCCAGCCGTTCAACAACTGGCTGGATGGCGCCCGCGAGGACCTGGTGGATATGTTCATCGTGCACACTATGGAGGAGATCCAGGGCCTGATCGAGGCGCACGAGCAGTTCAAGGCGACCCTCGGCGAGGCCGATAAGGAGTACAACTCTGTGGTCAACCTGGTCAAGGAGGTGGAGATGCTGGCGCGCCAGTACCAGATTCCCGGAGGACTAGAGAACCCCTACACCAGCCTGACGGCCAACGTGAGTCACTGGGGTAGGGAGGGACGACTAGGGAGACTCTAAACCAGCGCCCACTCCCAGCTTCCGCTACTAAAGGGACACTTGAAGACTTGTCAGAGAGATGGGGCGGATTGTGAATGTTCTCTCGGATACGGCAGAGTGAGTATCTCGCCATCAAAGGCTGTGTCTTTGGTTGTGTCTTTGAGAGTCGTTTTTCTAATTGTCTTGCATTTATGATCTGTAATGACTTCTCAGTTTATGCATGCGAGAGATACGCAAAAAACGCACTTCGTTGTAAGTTTTCATTGGCTCTTTAACCCGCGCCGTGCTGGGGGGGGGGCGTTTTTACGCCCCCCCCCCCTCAGGTTTTTCGCGAATATCTCAAAAACGGCGGCGCGCAGCGCCGCCGTTTTTGGTACACGTGTTCCTACATCATTTCCGCACATGTTGTGAAAATTTCAGACCTAGGCCGTTCAAGGTCAGGTCACCAGGTCACGTCAAGTGACCTTACCTCAGAAAAAGTTCAAAGGCTCGCTATAGCTACACCGACTGAACGATCACTTTGAAACTTTCAGCGATTGATATGAGTAACAGTATGTATAAAATGTATATCTCGGATTTTTGATATCTGTGACCTAAGGTCAGGTCAATTTTGCGACCTCTCCATTATAAGTCAATGGGAGAAAATTGAAATGCGCCTCTTTTGGACGAATATCGTTCAAAACGCTCTCAAACATCGGTTCATAGGTAAACATGACACACTGAATAGGAAAAATGCACCTGTGACCCCTCTGTGTGCCCCTGAGGTCATCTCAGGTCATGAACGGTCGCCAGCAGTTTTTTGGCTATAACTTTTGATAGAGACGTGCTAGAGCGGTGAAAACACGTCAGATGTGTTCAGCTCGACGATACGGATCGACTGATATGCAACATGACCCTTTTCGGTCAGGTCATGACCTTGACCTGAGGTCAAATTTTCAAAATGACCTTTCAAGGTCAACAAATAGTTCATTCGACGCGTCTCGACGAGAGGAACACGATGCTGGCAAAAGTAATGTCATGGCGCTTATGAGTCAAAAGTTATTGACGAAAAAACGTTTTTCGTAAAAACGGCTATTTTTGGAGTTTTTGCCCTCTGGAGGCTAAACCGTTGACCTGAGGTCAAATCTGAGAACATTACTCAGAAAGGTCTGTAAAAGGGCTATCGAATGCGCTTTTCCGCGGCGCTGTAGCTCTATCGGTTCCCGAGATAGCCGTTGGCAGTTTCCAAAATGTTGAAATAGTCAACATTTTACCTTTGGTGACCTCTGGTGACCTGACCTTTGACCTGACCCAAAAAATGACCGAAGTGTTTTCGTCCTTATTTTTGACGCTCTTTCGATTGCCGCTTACCGCGTGTCGCTACGTGGCCCAGGAGCCGAGTTAGACGGGGGGGCGTGAAAACGCCCCCCCCCCCCCAGCACTCGGCGGAAAGTTCAGGCCACCAGCACGGCGCGGGTTAACCCGCGCCGGGCCGGTGCTCTGGGATTCCGCGCCGGGCCGGGGGGGGGTGTCTGAACACCCCCCCCCCTTCTAACTCGGCTCCCGGGCCACGTAGCGACACGAGGTAAGCGGCAATCGAAAGAACGTCCAAAATAAGGACGAAAACACTTCGGTCATTTTTTGGGTCAGGTCAAAGGTCAGGTCACCAGAGGTCACCAAAGGTCAAATGTCCACTATTTCAACATTTTGGAAACTGCCAACGGCTATCTCGGGAACCGATAGAGCTACAGCACCGCAGAAAAGCGCATTCGATAGCCCTTTTACAGACCTTTCTGAGTAATGTTCTCAGATTTGACCTCAGGTCAACGGTTTAGCCTCCAGAGGGCAAAAACTCCAAAAATAGCCGGATTTACGAAAAACGTTTGTCGGCAATTACTTTTGACTCAAAAGAGCCACGACATTACTTTTGCCACCATCGTGTTCCTCTCGTCGAGACGCGTCGAATGAACTATAATTTGACCTTGAAAGGTCAACTTGAAAATTTGACCTCAGGTCAAGGTCATGACCTGACCGGAAAAGGTCATGTTGCATATCAGTCGATCCGCAACGTCGAGCCGAACACATCTAAGGCGTTTTCAGCGCTCTAGCACGTCTCTATCAGAAGTTATTAGCGAAAAACTGTTAGATTCTGTTCGTGACCTGAGATGACCTCGGGGACATAACGAGGGGTCACAGTTGCCATTTTCCGGTTCAGTGTGTCCATTTTACCTACATCTCGATGTTTGAGAGTGTCTAGAATAGCGTTCGTGCAAAACAGACGCTTTTCAATTTTCTCCCGTTGACTTATAATGGAGAGGTCGCAAAATTGACCTGACCTTAGGTCACCGATATCAAAATTCCGAGATATACATTTTGTAGATAATGTTGCTCTAATCAATCGCTGAAAGTTTCAAGGCAATCGATCAATCGGTGTAGCTATGACGAGCATTCTTATTTTTTCTGAGGTGAGGTCACTTGGTGTGACCTGGTGACCTGACCTAAGGTGACCTGGGTCTGAAATTTTCACAACATGTGCGGAAAAGATGCAAGAACAGGTGTGCCAAAAACGGCGGCGCTCCGCGCCGCCGTTTTTGAGATATCTGCGAAAAACCGCAGGGGGGTGTTCAAACACCCCCCCCCCCGGCCCGGCGCGGGTTAACGTGCTTCACGGCGTAAATGATGTTGCCTTTTAAAGCCACATCCTCCCGCACACGTCATGTGCTACTTGACCTGTTACCCGTCCGCGCCCCACGTCGGTGCAGTGTGTTGATCCCTGCCCTCCCACGCGCCATACCACAGGTCTGACCCAGGTGCTGATCTACGCCTCTCGCTCGCCCTCCGTTTACAGGTGCTGACCTCTGTCCTCTCCCTCCCTCAGGTACTGACCCAGAAGTGGTCGGATGTGCGCCAGTCGCTGGTCCCTCAGCGCGACCAGACGCTCCAGAACGAGATGCGTCGCCAGCAGAACAACGAGGCGCTGCGGCGCCAGTTCGCCGAGAAGGCCAACCAGGTCGGGCCGTGGATCGAGCAACAGATGGCCGCTGTGGCCGCCATCGGCATGGGCGGCACCGGCGCGCTCGAGGACCAGCTCATCAAGCTGAAAAACTACGAGCAGGCCGTGTACGCGTACAAGCCGCAGATCGACGAGCTGGAGCGTATCCACCAGTCGATCCAGGAGGGGATGATCTTCGAGAACCGCTACACGCACTACACGATGGAGGCGCTGCGCATTGGCTGGGAGCACCTGCTGACATCCATCAACAGGTGGGGACTGTGGGACAGAGGAGGGGAGCTGTGAGTGGGGTGGGGGAGAGGGAGGGAGGAGAGGGTTGGTAGAGGGCTGGAGATGAGCATTGAGCGTGGTGGATTAATCTGAGCTGGAACTAGCGAAGAGTGATGAATGATGCGTGATAGTCGTGGTGGTATGTTGTGCTGTGAGAAATGACTCGTGTTGAAAGCATATCTGGGTATCTTGTCTGATTTTCCAGCATCACAGTCCATCAGTTTGGAAATGTGGGTTGGGAATAACCTGATTACTTTTTACGATGTTGGCGATAATAGAAAGAGTGCATTAGTGCTGTCATCTTTCCTTTCTCACGGATGGATGCCCAGTCGACCGTCGGCCGCACGCCCGCACCCATCCCCACTCTGCCTTCCTCACACACCCCTCACCATCTCTGCTCTCTCCCTTAGAAACATCAACGAGGTTGAGAACCAGATCCTGACGCGCGACAGCAAGGGCATCAGCCAGGAGCAGCTCAATGAGTACCGCGCCTCGTTCAACCACTTCGACAAGACGCGCACGGGCCGCCTCAACTGGGACGAATTCAAGAGCTGCCTCATCTCTGTGGGCTACAGTCTGGGCAAGGACCGCCAGGGCGACCTGGACTTCCAGCGCATCCTGGCTGTGGTGGACCCCAACAACACGCATCAGGTGCCGTTCGACGCCTTCCTCGACTTCATGACGAGAGAGTCGACAGACATGGACACCGCCGAACAGGTGAGAAATGGAGGGACGGAAGGAGAGAGGGAGGGATAAAGCTCCAGAGAGCGGCGAGAAAGGAGACGACTAAGATGAAAGTGGAATCTAGGCGATAGGTTCCAGTAGCCACGAACGACGAATTACAGCGATTGGATGAATGATTGTGATACATGTTGAAGGAAGATGGACGAAGACGTGTATCTATTTTTCCTATATGATGCTAGTTTTTATCTGAAGAGCTAGGATCAAGTTGCTCCGCTCTTCTTAGCTGCACCCATTGTCCTGCCCACTTTCCTCCCCATTTGAGGAGCTGAGCTGACTGAGAGGTTAATTTTCGTGTCTTATGCTGTGTTGCTCGCCACAGCCGGACTGGCCATCTACGTTCCGCCCCCCTCCCCGTGTTGGACCGCACTGACCCCTCGCCGCCCGCCCACAGGTGATAGACTCGTTCCGCATCCTGGCCGCCGACAAGCCGTACATCCTGCCGGAGGAGCTGCGCCGTGAGCTGCCGCCCGACCAGGCCGAGTACTGCATCCAGAGGATGGCGCCCTACGCGGGACCCAACGCGGCGCCCGGCGCCCTCGACTACCTGTCCTTCTCGACGGCGCTCTACGGCGAGTCGGACCTGTAGGCGGCCGCGGCGCCCGCGGAGACGACCCACCCACACACAGAGGCCAAGGAGCCCAGTGCCAGTGAGCGCGCGCGCCGCGCGGGGGGCGCGCGTCCGTCGGCTGGCCGCAGCGCGATGGGGTAAGACCGGCCACCGCCGCCGCCAACACCGGCGGCCGGCGAGCGGGCCCGCTCGACGCCGAAAACACCCGGCGAGCAGCTGTGTCTTGCCTTAGTTCATCGTATCAATACGTCTAGTCTTTGTTGATTGGTCAATGTGTACATTGGATGTTTTGTAAATAACTCGAGATAATCCGGGCCCGGTGTGTCGGCGGCACGCCGCGGTGGGCCGCCCGGCGGCCGCGCCGCGCCGCGAGGGGCTGCCGGCGGCGCAGTGCCGTCCGCTCAGCCGGCAGGGGCCGCCCGGAGGGGCCCAGTCGCGCGCGCGCGCGCGCCCGGCCGGCCGGCGCCCGCCGCCGCCGCCGACGCCCGCGCCCTCCACCCGAGTTGTGTTGCCTCCTCCAGTCTTCTACACCTGCCGGCGGCCCAGGGAGCCGGGTGCCCCGGCCCCGGCGGCGCCCCCGGCCCGGCGCCCCGGACACCGGGCGGCGCCGCCGGCCGGCCCGGCTGCGCCCCAGATTCGGCCTCGGCGGCCGCTGCCAGCCCGTGCTATGCTCGGTGGATCGGTGCATGCACGCGCGAGAGAGGGATAGAAAGACAAAGTGTGTGACTGAGAGACTTGTGAGCCGCGGCTGCCGGTGGCCAATACATTTTTATCGAGTCTGAAATCGCGTGTTGAGCTGTATCCGCGAAATGCGAAATGAGAGGACACGTCTTCTAGCTAGCACACCACGACGGAGATGTTTCGCATTCCCCACGAGCCAGACAGTCGCAAATTTCTGCCGGTCAGAAAACACTCCAGTTCAAAGTTGAAAATATATATTTTATCTGCCATACAGTCAACACCACGTGGAAAACGAATCGGTACCGCCCATACTATCACTCTGTTCAGTCCCCGTGGTGCCTATTTTTGATGCGGCCAGTTTCTTCGCATGTTCTCTTTTACCGTGATTCGCGCGATTTACATTCGGTTTGGTGGACATGAAGGAAGACGCAATGTCCATTACACCGTCCGTCCGCAGTGGGTCTGCCGGGCTGGGCTGGGGTGGGCTCGAGCGACCTGGGGCGGCTCGAACCGGGCTCTCACCACCAGCCCGCTGGTGAGTCTGTCACTCTCCCAGCCGAGCCGCTGGGACGGACACCGGCCTGTCTGAAAACGACAGATGCTGCTGACCGGACTCAGGTAGACGGTACTTGGTCTGAATTACGTTACGAAATACGAAACACGAAATACGAAACGTAAAATTATTTTCTTTAGCTGGAGCACCACGGGGCCTGAAAATGGGATTATATATCACAATAATCAAAGCTCAAATGTCTGCTGACAAGCGTTGCGGATTACGTTTTCCACACAGGCAAACATTGCGATTTCTGCGCCCTTTGAGACACAAACACTGCTAGTACATATCGTAGCGGCCACAGACGAGCGCCGTTATCATTGCAATATCCACAAACACTGCTAATGCCGCGAGATACGGAGACGAGCACAGAGAGCATTGCGCCCCCATGCACTGCCGGTAGCAAGTATGCAGTCGCATACAAGCTGACAGCGAACATAGCTAGCGATTTTTCGCAAACACTGCGATTGTTGTTACGTCCATAAACACTGCGAGCAATAGGCCTTTTGTGGGCAAACACAATGCGTATAGCGACATCTGCAGACGGTCGCTACATCCACAAACACTGCGCATAGAGTCAAACATTGCGGTTGCCAGAGTCGCCCCACGAACATCGTGAAACTCTGCAGCGGACGACTGGACTTGACACGCGCCAACCATTGGCACGTGAATATTAGACACACACTGAGCAGCACGAGCGCACGAGTGAACTCACGTCAGGCTGGCCCGGCACCGAGCCTGCGGTCTCCTGACCGACAGGAGGCTGACACAGAGGTCACCTGACCGATGGGACTCCGACCCAGAGGTCGCCCGACCTTCGGTATTAGGCGAGATGATGACCTCAGGGCCATAGAGGACTCCACACATGGCAGGGGCATATCAGTAGCAGCTGCCGCTGAGAGACTCGGCGAAAGAGTTAGAGTTTGGTGGTCATTCCGAAACTCTTTTACAGAAGTGCGTTACATAAGTGCGTTGAAAGAACAGAAAGCAACGATTAAGCCGATAGATACGACTAGTCATTTCAATAGCAATAGGTATAGGTCATTCCATGGTAACACGGTAAGTTCGATTAAATATAACATACGAGGATTAAAATGAGAAGTGCCAGTTACTGCCAATTGCCATTGAGCCATCAGGACTTTGGTAAGTACGAACTAAAGAGCACAGTAATGCGATATGGCCGTGAAGTTTTAGTACTCATACATAACGTCTGCCCGTCATAGCTTGAATGCTTAGTCTACATCGCCACCTCAAAATAATGAGAAAAGAAACAGCCACTCACAATGAAATGAAAATTACAACACATTTATGAATATGCAAGCACCACCAATGTGGTTATTTATCACAATACTCGTCTGCGTTACGCTACGGATAATCCCTTTGGAGCTCGGCTACATACGGTTGAGCCATCACTTCAGCTATCATCGGGCCTTCTGCCCTGGGTCCATTGATCAACGCAGCATCGTCTCAGCGATCTAGCCGCCACAATTCATTCAGGTCAGACAGACTGGCTTGCTCAAATGCCGATTCATGGCCTGCAACGGGAAGAACGAGTAGGTACGGCCGTCTTCTCTGCGTCTAATCTTCGACAACAATTGAAAAAGTTATTAGGAATGGCGTAACAAGGCGACCACCCTACACCCTGCTCCCGTTGTGCGGAGTGACGCCGGGCGGTGGGGTCCGGCGAGACTCACAGCGCAGCAGCTGCCGGTACGCCTGTCGGTACTCCAAGCTCATAACCACGTAGATAATTGGATTAGTACAGGTCGTCAGGTATATCAGCGCATAACCCAGGACGTTGATAAATGGTGCGTCCGTTTCCTTTCCAAATACTTTGACTATGGTAATGGGTAGATAGCAGAGGACAAAACAGAGGAAAATGACTAGGATCATTTTCAGCAGCCGGCGGTCTTTGGCGGACATGTTGCCGGCCCGTCTCGGCGAGGCGCGATCCCTCACAGCAGCCATTAGTGAGACGACCAGCTGACTGCCGTGGCTCTGTATCCGCGCCCGGTTAGCCTCAGGGCTGACCGTCTGTCCCTCGGCGGGCGGCGACCCGGCCCTCACGTAGGCCACCTGGACCTCGGCGCCGCCGCCGTTCACATCAGTCACCCGCACCTCGGACCCACTGATGACGTCAGTTGCGCCGTTGGTGACGCCGTTGGTGGTGCGGACGGCCAGCTCTGCGCTGACCCTGCGAGCCGGTGTGGCCACCTCTACCGCCGTGGCCGTGCTGACAGGCTGGCGCGCGCTGCTCGGGTCGGCGGCGGGCGCGGCGCCCCTGCCGGCGCCCCGGCCGGCGCCACGCGCGGCGCGGCCCTGACGAGCCACCCGCTCCGTCCGGCGCACGATCATGAAGATGCGCACGTAGCAGATACAGATAGAGCTGGCTGGCAGCAGGAACGCGAACACGAACAGAAACTCTTTGGGCGACGAGCCGTCGGCGTTCGGAAGGATGGTGCAGCTGCCGATGGCCGGGTCCAGGCCGAAATGGCCCCACTTGCCGGACAGGGTGGGCACCAGGAACATGAAGACGCTGATCCAGATGGCAGCCAGCATCAGGGCCAGGGCTCTGGGACGGTACAGCCTGTCGACAGGGGGACGGGAACGGACGTCAGACGTCAGCACATCAGTCGCAGTGATGTGAAGAGCTGATGTGGTGAAATGGAAACGCTCGCAGGGGTACATACTACACATAGCACAACTGACATTAACGACGAAATTGTTTGGAATATTATATAGGAATATTTCATAGGAATATTTAATGGGTAGACATGCCTATAAGTAGATACCTAGAGATAGATATTAGGACGCAGTGATTGGACATTTCCAAGCTCCCGCCGTCATCGTGCTGCTCTTCAGGTTTATTGAAAACGGCGCATATTCAGGAATAATATCCAAAGAATATGGCTCTCTTTTCTAAAAAGGCAGTCGATGTGACCTCCCTTATATCACATCAATCGTACTTATATTGTAAACGTACGAGTATAAGCTTCGAAGACGACATGCTTGTAGGACCAATTGTTGTGCTCGTTTAAACGTTTTTTTATCTTTATGCCTTTATCTCCAATCGCTCACGTTACTAGAAAAAAAAAAACATTTCATTTTCAATTAAAGAATGTTTGTGTGTCATACATATATCTAGCCTCTTTCGGGAGGAGTAGCACCTATGCATATACAGCGTGGGGTATCATCCCCTCTTCCTCAGTCGAATCTAAATACCGTCGCGAGCTCAGAGTTCAGGGTCGGTGTGGGCTCCACGAATGGCCACCGTCTGATCAGGGCCGTCTGTTGGCGACCGTGTCACGTCCTGCGAGCTGTAATCCAGGCAGAGCTGCCCTGACCACCGGTTTTCAATTTGGTCAGCCTTCGTGACCCATAGGATCCCTAGTGGCCATCTGGCCGACCCCTCCTAATCCCCTCGGCTAGTACGTGTTAAATAAATGCGACTGTACGCTCATCGAGTGGAGCTAAAGTAAATAGATGTAGCGTCTTTTATTTGTTGAAATAGTAAAACCTAGGTACTGGACACTGGTACATATGTATATTGCTGTTACCGTTGCGTAATACTAGTTTTCCTCTGTATTAGTTTTAATATTTCGTTCATGTTACAAAATGTAAGGACTATAACCTAATTTTGTACTGATCAAAGCCTCGGGTAGACCTAGAAATAAACAAACAGGAGCCACTATTCGACAAGATATCAAAGTGCGTTGATTGTTGTCAAATCGGCATCATCCACCGCCACGAAGTCTTAATACGAAATTAACTTCTTCTAAGCGCAGTTTTTTGCCGCCAGCGAGCTTTAAGCCTGAAACAGACTCTTTCCGCAGTCAGGAAATCGCATGCGAGAGCCTATTCAAATACATGGAAGCACGCTCGCATCAATCGCACGCACCTCCCGCAAGCGATTGATGCGAGAAGAATTACAATGTATTTGAATAGGCTCTCGCATGCGATTTCCTGAACGCGGGAGGAGTCTGTTTCAGCCTTTACGGAGTTGTGCGCTTCGGCCCGGAGTGTGTCGTGCTCTCCGCGATGTTGCCTTTGTAACTTTCATTTCTAGCTCCTCTAGTTTCTCTTGTTTTCCAAGTAACGCCCAAGGTGTTGGAGCAGCGCGTGCTACAGTCGCGCAAACTCTCGACTTCTTTCGGCGCAATTAAACCTCGAGAAGCGTGTGAGACTAGAATGTGCTTCCAAGCGTACTACTACTGTCAACGTCATCTTCAGTAGGTTGCCGCCCGCACGGGTCTAAAAGTAGGTGGCTCGACTTTGCTAAAAACTAGGATGATACATGGAAGTGATCCGCCAATAGCAGTGCGCCAATTGCATCCAGTTTCTGTTCGTTTGGGCTTGATCTCAGACTGATGATGGGTCATTATTGCCTGCAATTCGTCTAAGCACCGCAATGTCAGCGAGCATTCCTAGAAGAGAGTCTTGTTTAACCCGCGCGGGGCTGGGGTCTCCAGCCGAACGCGCGGGGCTGGGGGGGGGGGTAAATTTTACCCCCCCCCCCTGTTATCTCCCGAACTAATGGTCCGATTTGGAAA